TAAAAACATACGAGTCAGAAATAGAGATGCTGCGTACTCAACTGAAGAACCTAGGAAGATCAGAGAGCCCTAAACCATCTCTTGAAGCTCAAAATATTGAGTCAAAAAAGAAGGTTGCAGACTTAGAAGCTATGCTTGACGCTGAGTACGAAGATATGCAACATTCTTTAAGTGCTGCTGCACAAACTGATGTAACGATGTCACACATTGCTGAACTGCAAGATGAAATTGGCTTCCTAAAAGAACTTGAATCTAAACTGAGAAATGACGTAAAGAGTCTGATGGACGAGAGTAACCAACGTGAGGTCAACCACTCATTTAAAATCTCAGATATACGATGCCATAATGATTCTACTATAAAAGAGCTTCAGGATCAAATGGCTGAACTGGAATGCCAAAACGAAATCTGGATTATGAAAAAGGACGACGAAATCAGAAAATTGCAACAACTAATTACAAACCCGAAGCAGGCTGGCACTTAACCAGAACCACCTGTGCAGGAAGACGTTGCATTTTATAGGGAGCAAGTTGAGTTCTCCCAGAACATGTACAAAAATGAGATAATAGGTGGAGAGTTACGTATAAACCATAGAGAAAATCTTCAGGCAGTTAAACTAGAAATATGTCTACCCTTGTTTAGTGTTTACGATTATTGCAGGTTTGGACAAGTTTAGGGCTGATCCCAGTGCTCACAGTGTACAATTTTCAGCTAATAAATCTTGAATTCTGAGGTAACAAAATCAACTAGAACTCTGAAAAAGTGATTTATCAGAAATCATGCCCTTACTTCCATGATAAGAGGGATTCGTAAAAATTATAAGCAGGTTGTGGCTTATTATCTAGTAAAAGATACAAGATCCAGATCTGAAAACGATTATTGTTCATGTGATCACAAACTAGCAGCGACTTGGTTTGTGCGTTGTTGGCACTATTTATAATCAGGGCGCAACGATCAAAAACGCACTTGAGACGATTTGCTCGGATGAATACTCACGGATCAAGTCCATTCGATTTTATAGTCAATGCTCAAGTATTTCTACAATTTGTGATGAACCACATTTATTCAAAAATGGATGAAATGCTCTTATTGACATTAATATGAAAGTGAAGAAGCTGCACAGATTGAACATGTCTAGAAATCATATAATGTTGATCAGCAAACAAGACCATACAAAGAGCTATGTAGATTCGTTCAAGAATATAGAACATTAATCCTTTAATGATATCGTCGGATGATTCGAAGCTTTCTCAGTTATGTGGTGGGGTCCCGTGACTTCTCATACGGTATGAGCACGTATACCTCAAACCACAGTTAATTTAAACATCACAATTGTTGGTTTGTTGACTTTGCGGTCAAATTTGATCCGAGGATGTCAGTTGCGTGTACGATTTTGAACTTCCTTCACATGGATTTTTTCGTTGTTGACGGATGAACAATACACTATAGACTACGCCGAGGACGACGCTGCTATCGATCAACCTGAACACTTCCTATGGGCGACCTCGCTATGCCTATGGAAAAAAACATGTACAATTGGTCAAAAACGAGCGCCTGCAACTGGTCGATTATTACGCATTTACCTGAACTAAAGTCCGTGGCAACCAATTTGGAAAATAATAACCCTGTGACTCGAGAAATGCCGATAAATTTCTCCAAATACGTGAAATTTCGAGACACTCATAGGAGAACTGTCGAAATTGTTATATTTCGGGTGAGTCCCCTACAAAATACGAGATGCTCGTGGGCCGATGTCCTTCCTGTGCCTACAAGAAAACTAAACCGAATAAGTATGGACTGATGATGCAAAGACTCACCACTACCTGCTCAATGCTTTCGTCTATACGAACAGAAATATCACAGCAGATGACTGGTTCACGTCAGTAGAATTACATGTAGAATTGCGCATCAACCAACTGACCTATGTCGGCAGGAAGCGTAAAAATAAGTAACAAGTACCCCAACATGTAGTTCCAAATAAGAAGGAAACACAGCCAGGTACTTCTAAGTTTATGTTGTACAGCCTTAGAGTAGTATCTTCCAAAACCAAATACACATGTTCTCGTATAGCAATCTATGCAGCATGATAACAAAATAGTAGAGGAATCAAAGAAACCTGATAAGATCCTATATTATTTTATAACACTATGAAGGCGGGGGGTAATGCATTAGATCGGAAGTGTGTAAATTACAATACTGGTTAGAGAACGAGAAGATGGCCTTGTGCTATTTGGTATCCAACCAGCTTCTGTAAATTCCTTTTTTTTTCAGTCTGGGACTGAAAGTTCCATTAGGCGACGAAATTTTATTGTTCCCCTGAGGCAAACTCTAATTTAACTTCGTATGAGAGGACGTTTATCAGATCCAAGACTTCCTAGGGAGCTTCGTTCAGCCATGCAAAGAATCCTAAATTACCAACGACGAATAAAGTAAGCCGTCTACTTCTCAGCCCAGAGTTCTCGATCCTGATGCAGTTGTTAAAGAAAAAAAACGACGTAGGTGTTACATGACAATACACAATGAAAAAATGTTCTACAATCTGTAATAAGTATGTAAAGTCACAGCGCACTTACATTGTTTCGTGAAAAGTGATAAATGTTAATTATTGTATGTTTCCTTATACGAGAAAGTATTTGTTTTTGTTGTAGAATATCAACACCAAATATGTTGTTAAATGGCCCATTTTGTTAGTTTTTTTATGTTCATATTACAGTTCAAGTTTCGAGGATTATATTTATTGCATTACTCATCTTCAATGGGGTATTTTCGTTTTTAGACAATAAACAGTTTTCATGTAAGAGTGTCTTATGCGTACAAACCTGTTGTACACATGGCTAAAAACAGTAATGGCATTTCAGATGTTGATAGTAAGATCCGGTGGATAACCTGTTTTGCGAGATTAGATGTGGGATTTCCAACACGAACACCATCTGTTTATTTGAAGCATTAAAACTGTAATAATCAACAATTTCAGTTTTCCATTGACAATAATGAAGAATTATGAAGGCGATTCATGTAAGGCACTAGGTAACTTCGCGTTGCTTTTAGAAGAGTATTGTCTGAATAGACAACAGTTACCTTGTGATTCTTCACCGAGCTGCATTTTTCAAGTTGAAAAATCGGGTGCTGAAAGTGATGGATCTATAGATTTGTGAGAATTTGCTGCTGCTTCAACTTCTTTTTGTAATAACAATAACAGTCTATATGAAATTTAACAATTCTGTTTCTTCTTTGATTTTGAGTCACCCTGTAAATGTAGCTCTACTAAACTATCGGACCGCATTCATAGCCTACAAGAGAAAAAAATCTTCTATACTGGAAAGGAGGAAAAAAAGAATGTATCAACCTGATACATCTGCCCCTCTTTATAACCCGTGAAATAGCCCTAGTTCTAATTAAATTTCAGTTCAAGCTTCCAAAATGACTTCCAACAATATTAAAGTAGCCACAAAGATCAGACCAATGATCCACCGCGAAGTAGCCGATGGTCTAGAGCGTCTTTGGAACGTAAGAGTAAACTGCATATGGGAAGCCGATGAAAGTAGTCGCCATGGAGAGGTTTATATATTCGACCATGTATTTAATCAGGAATGTACAAATTCAGATGTATATGGATCTGTAGTAAAACCTTTAGTCGATTCCTTCATGGAAGGTTTCAATGCCACAATATTTGCATATGGCCAAACATCTTCTGGCAAAACACACACCATTTGGGCAATAAAACAGATCCTGGGCTTTTCCAATTAGTATCCAATCAGTTATTCCAGCATGTGGCAGACCAGGTTGATAAGAGGTACTTGATTAGATGCAGTTATATTGAAATCTACAATGAAAAGATCAATGACCTCCTGGATAAGAGCAATCAGGGTTTAACTATGAGAAGATATCAAAGGAAATGTGCTGCTTGATGCAAGGGAAGCTGTCGTAGACAATGTTGATAAAGTTATGGAGAACATGATGCAGGGCAATAAGATCAGACGAGTTGCAGCTACTCGCATGAATGAGAGGTCATCTCGATCACACACGATTTTCCGGATTATTCTGGAGTCGAAAGATGCCAATCAGAAAGATGGACCTGTACATATAAGCTACCTTAACTTAATGGACTTAGCTGGTTCTGAGAGAGTTTCTCTGACGAAAGCTGCTGGTGAGCGTCTTAAAGAGGGGGCTAACATAAACAAATCTTTGTCAGTATTAGGAAATGTGATAAGGCAACTAAGCGAGGGGAAGGAGTTTATCAGTTATCGCGATTCGAAATTGACTAGACTGCTCTCACAGGCTCTTGGCGGTAATGCCAAATCATTGATTATCGGGAATGTTACTTTAGCTGCAGAGGAGGAGACTAGATCTACACCAGAATTCGCCCAAAGCACTAAAACTGTCAAAATAAAACGAAAGTAAACATCTTGTCAGCTACAGAAGAGACACTTCAAGGATATCAGAACTTGACTCGCGATCTCGAAACTCGGCTCAAAAAGCAGGCAATTAAGCTAAAAGAGATGGATAAAAGCAAACAAGAGTATCTGCTCGAGATAGAAAGACTAAAAACGGAAGTATCTATTGTCGGGCGCTTTCAAATGGGAGCCTCGGCATCAACACCGAAAAAAACATTAAGACGTCATACTTTTGGACACTATGGCAACGTATCACCTAAAAAAGCATCCCTAGGGTATATGCCATTGAAAAATTATCCACCCAAAGAAGAATCATCCGGACGTGAAATGAGGCCTATTCAAGAAGAGACATATGAGGAGGCACTAGCCGAAGCAGAATCTGTGATAGCTGAAGACGTGCAAGTGTACTTAAAAGACAACTCAAAGAACTGGAAGAATCTTTCAATGAGCTTAGAGAATTCACTAAACTAGATAATCAGCTGGAGATTTTGGACCTGAAGAAACAGCTCACAGAAGCCAATTCTAAATTCGATCGTTACAGTCAGGAACTCCGCCAAGTAACGGATGCGTACAACGAAGAAATAGAAAGAGTTCAAAAAAATTCTCAAAAAGCGCAAGAATTTCATCGACTTGCAATACAGACTCGATTTTCTGGAAAAAAATAATAAAAAGACTAAAAACATACGAGTCAGAAATAGAGATGCTGCGTACTCAACTGAAGAACCTAGGAAGATCAGAGAGCCCTAAACCATCTCTTGAAGCTCAAAATATTGAGTCAAAAAAGAAGGTTGCAGACTTAGAAGCTATGCTTGACGCTGAGTACGAAGATATGCAACATTCTTTAAGTGCTGCTGCACAAACTGATGTAACGATGTCACACATTGCTGAACTGCAAGATGAAATTGGCTTCCTAAAAGAACTTGAATCTAAACTGAGAAATGACGTAAAGAGTCTGATGGACGAGAGTAACCAACGTGAGGTCAACCACTCATTTAAAATCTCAGATATACGATGCCATAATGATTCTACTATAAAAGAGCTTCAGGATCAAATGGCTGAACTGGAATGCCAAAACGAATCTGGATTATGAAAAAGGACGACGAAATCAGAAAATTGCAAACACTAATTACAACCCGAAGCAGGCTGGCACTTAACCAGAACCACCTGTGCAGGAAGACGTTGCATTTTATAGGGAGCAAGTTGAGTTCTCCCAGAAACATGTACAAAAATGAGATAATAGGTGAGAGTTACGTATAAACCATAGAGAAAATCTTCAGGCAGTTAAACTAGAAATATGTCTACCCTTGTTTAGTGTTTACGATTATTGCAGGGTTTGGACAAAGTTTAGGGCTGATCCCAGTGCTCACAGTGTACAATTTTCAGCTAATAAATCTTGAATTCTGAGGTAACAAAATCAACTAGAACTCTGAAAAAGTGATTTATCAGAAATCATGCCCTTACTTCCATGATAAGAGGGATTCGTAAAAATTATAAGCAGGTTGTGGCTTATTATCTAGTAAAAGATACAAGAATCCCAGATCTGAAAACGATTATTGTTCATGTGATCACAAACTAGCAGCGACTTGGTTTGTGCGTTGTTGGCACTATTTCTAATCAGGGCGCAACGATCAAAAACGCACTTGAGACGATTTGCTCGGAATACTCACGGATCAAGTCCATTCCATTTTATAGTCAATGCTCAGAGTATTTCTACAATTTGTGATGAACCACATTTATTCAAAAATGGATGAAATGCTCTTATTGACATTAATATGAAAGTGAAGAAGCTGCACAGATTGAACATGTCTAGAAAGCATATAATGTTGATCAGCAAACAAGACCATACAAAGAGCTATGTAAATTGAAACCCAGCCACTTTGATTTATAGATTCGTTTAAGAATATAGAAATTAATCCTTTAATGATATCGTCGGATGATTCGAGCTTTCTCAGTTATGTGGTGGGGGTCCCGTGACTTCTCATACGGTATGAGCACGTATACCTCAAACCACAGTTTAATTTAAACATCACAATTGTTGGTTTGTTGACTTTGCGGTCAAATTTGATCCGAGGATGTCAGTTGCGTGTACGATTTGAACTTCCTTCACAATGGATTTTTTCGTTGTTGACGGATGAACAATACACTATAGACTACGCCGAGGACGACGCTGCTATCGATCAACCTGAACAACTTCCTATGGGCGACCTCGCTATGCCTATGGAAAAAACATGTACAATTGGTCAAAACGAGCGCCTGCAACTGGTCGATTATTACGCATTTACCTGAACTAAAGTCCGTGGCAACCAATTTGGAAAATAATAACCCTGTGACTCGAGAAATGCCGATAAATTTCTCCAAATACGTGAAATTTTCGAGACACTCATAGAGAACTGTCGAAATTGTTATATTTCGGGTGAGTCCCCTACAAAATACGAGATGCTCGTGGGCCGATGTCCTTCCTGTGCCTACAAGAAAACTAAACCGAATAAGTATGGACTGATGATGCAAAGACTCACCACTACCTGCTCAATGCTTTCGTCTATACGAACAGAAATATCACAGCAGATGACTGGTTCACGTCAGTAGAATTACATGTAGAATTGCGCATCAACCAACTGACCTATGTCGGCAGGAAGCGTAAAAATAAGTAACAAGTACCCCAACATGTAGTTCCAAATAAGAAGGAAACACAGCCAGGTACTTCTAAGTTTATGTTGTACAGCCTTAGAGTAGTATCTTCCAAAACCAAATACACATGTTCTCGTATAGCAATCTATGCAGCATGATAACAAAATAGTAGAGGAATCAAAGAAACCTGATAAGATCCTATATTATTTTTATAACACTATGAAGGCGGGGGGTAATGCATTAGATCGGAAGTGTGTAAATTACAATACTGGTTAGAGAACGAGAAGATGGCCTTGTGCTATTTGGTATCCAACCAGCTTCTGTAAATTCCTTTTTTTTCAGTCTGGGACTGAAAGTTCCATTAGGCGACGAAATTTTATTGTTCTCCTGAGGCAAACTCTAATTTAACTTCGTATGAGAGGACGTTTATCAGATCCAAGACTTCCTAGGGAGCTTCGTTCAGCCATGCAAAGAATCCTAAATTACCAACGACGAATAAAGTAAGCCGTCTACTTCTCAGCCCAGAGTTCTCGATCCTGATGCAGTTGTTAAAGAAAAAAACGACGTAGGTGTTACATGACAATACACAATGAAAAAAATGTTCTACAATCTGTAATAAGTATGTAAAGTCACAGCGCAGCTACATTGTTTCGTGAAAAGTGATAAATGTTAATTATTGTATGTTTCCTTATACGAGAAAGTATTTGTTTTTGTTGTAGAATATCAACACCAAATATGTTGTTAAATGGCCCATTTTGTTAGTTTTTTTATGTTCATATTACAGTTCAAGTTTCGAGGATTATATTTATTGCATTACTCATCTTCAATGGGGTATTTTCGTTTTTAGACAATAAACAGTTTTCATGTAAGAGTGTCTTATGCGTACAAACCTGTTGTACACATGGCTAAAAACAGTAATGGCATTTCAGATGTTGATAGTAAGATCCGGTGGATAACCTGTTTTGCGAGATTAGACGTGGGATTTCCAACACGAACACCATCTGTTTATTTGAAGCATTAAAAACTGTAATAATCAACAATTTCAGTTTTCCATTGACAATAATGAAGAATTATGAAGGCGATTCATGTAAGGCACTAGGTAACTTCGCGTTGCTTTTAGAAGAGTATTGTCTGAATAGACAACAGTTACCTTGTGATTCTTCACCGAGCTGCATTTTTCAAGTTGAAAAATCGGGTGCTGAAAGTGATGGATCTATAGATTTGTGAGAATTTGCTGCTGCTTCAACTTCTTTTTGTAATAACAATAACAGTCTATATGAAATTTAACAATTCTGTTTCTTCTTTGATTTTGAGTCACCCTGTAAATGTAGCTCTACTAAACTATCGGACCGCATTCATAGCCTACAAGAGAAAAAAATCTTCTATACTGGAAAGGAGGAAAAAAAGAATGTATCAACCTGATACATCTGCCCCTCTTTATAACCCGTGAAATAGCCCTAGTTCTAATTAAATTTCAGTTCAAGCTTCCAAAATGACTTCCAACAATATTAAAGTAGCCACAAAGATCAGACCAATGATCCACCGCGAAGTAGCCGATGGTCTAGAGCGTCTTTGGAACGTAAGAGTAAACAGCATATGGGAAGCCGATGAAAGTAGTCGCCATGGAGAGGTTTATATATTCGACCATGTATTTAATCAGGAATGTACAAATTCAGATGTATATGGATCTGTAGTAAAACCTTTAGTCGATTCCTTCATGGAAGGTTTCAATGCCACAATATTTGCATATGGCCAAACATCTTCTGGCAAAACACACACCATTTTGGGCAATAAAACAGATCCTGGGCTTTTCCAATTAGTATCCAATCAGTTATTCCAGCATGTGGCAGACCAGGTTGATAAGAGGTACTTGATTAGATGCAGTTATATTGAAATCTACAATGAAAAGATCAATGACCTCCTGGATAAGAGCAATCAGGGTTTAACTATGAGAAGATATCAAAGGAAATGTGCTGCTTGATGCAAGGGAAGCTGTCGTAGACAATGTTGATAAAGTTATGGAGAACATGATGCAGGGCAATAAGATCAGACGAGTTGCAGCTACTCGCATGAATGAGAGGTCATCTCGATCACACACGATTTTCCGGATTATTCTGGAGTCGAAAGATGCCAATCAGAAAGATGGACCTGTACATATAAGCTACCTTAACTTAATGGACTTAGCTGGTTCTGAGAGAGTTTCTCTGACGAAAGCTGCTGGTGAGCGTCTTAAAGAGGGGGCTAACATAAACAAATCTTTGTCAGTATTAGGAAATGTGATAAGGCAACTAAGCGAGGGGAAGGAGTTTATCAGTTATCGCGATTCGAAATTGACTAGACTGCTCTCACAGGCTCTTGGCGGTAATGCCAAATCATTGATTATCGGGAATGTTACTTTAGCTGCAGAGGAGGAGACTAGATCTACACCAGAATTCGCCCAAAGCACTAAAACTGTCAAAAATAAAACGAAAGTAAACATCTTGTCAGCTACAGAAGAGACACTTCAAGGATATCAGAACTTGACTCGCGATCTCGAAACTCGGCTCAAAAAGCAGGCAATTAAGCTAAAAGAGATGGATAAAAGCAAACAAGAGTATCTGCTCGAGATAGAAAGACTAAAAACGGAAGTATCTATTGTCGGGCGCTTTCAAATGGGAGCCTCGGCATCAACACCGAAAAAAACATTAAGACGTCATACTTTTGGACACTATGGCAACGTATCACCTAAAAAAGCATCCCTAGGGTATATGCCATTGAAAAATTATCCACCCAAAGAAGAATCATCCGGACGTGAAATGAGGCCTATTCAAGAAGAGACATATGAGGAGGCACTAGCCGAAGCAGAATCTGTGATAGCTGAAGACGTGCAAGTGTACTTAAAAGACAACGCAAAGAACTGGAAGAATCTTTCAATGAGCTTAGAGAATTCACTAAACTAGATAATCAGCTGGAGATTTTGGACCTGAAGAAACAGCTCACAGAAGCCAATTCTAAAATCGATCGTTACAGTCAGGAACTCCGCCAAGTAACGGATGCGTACAACGAAGAAATAGAAAGAGTTCAAAAAAATTCTCAAAAAGCGCAAGAATTTCATCGACTTGCAATACAGACTCGATTTTCTGGAAAAAAATAATAAAAAGACTAAAAACATACGAGTCAGAAATAGAGATGCTGCGTACTCAACTGAAGAACCTAGGAAGATCAGAGAGCCCTAAACCATCTCTTGAAGCTCAAAATATTGAGTCAAAAAAGAAGGTTGCAGACTTAGAAGCTATGCTTGACGCTGAGTACGAAGATATGCAAGATTCTTTAAGTGCTGCTACACAAACTGATGTAACGATGTCACACATTGCTGAACTGCAAGATGAAATTGGCTTCCTAAAAGAACTTGAATCTAAACTGAGAAATGACGTAAAGAGTCTGATGGACGAGAGTAACCAACGTGAGGTCAACCACTCATTTAAAATCTCAGATATACGATGCCATAATGATTCTACTATAAAAGAGCTTCAGGATCAAATGGCTGAACTGGAATGCCAAAACGAAATCTGGATTATGAAAAGTGCCCCTCTTTATAACCCGTGAAATAGCCCTAGTTCTAATTAAATTTCAGTTCAAGCTTCCAAAATGACTTCCGACAATATTAAAGTAGCCACAAAGATCAGACCAATGATCCACCGCGAAGTAGCCGATGGTCTAGAGCGTCTTTGGAACGTAAGAGTAAACTGCATATGGGAAGCCGATGAAAGTAGTCGCCATGGAGAGGTTTATATATTCGACCATGTATTTAAGCAGGAATGTACAAATTCAGATGTATATGGATCTGTAGTAAAACCTTTAGTCGATTCCTTCATGGAAGGTTTCAATGCCACAATATTTGCATATGGCCAAACATCTTCTGGCAAAACACACACCATTTTGGGCAATAAAACAGATCCTGGGCTTTTCCAATTAGTATCCAATCAGTTATTCCAGCATGTGGCAGACCAGGTTGATAAGAGGTACTTGATTAGATGCAGTTATATTGAAATCTACAATGAAAAGATCAATGACCTCCTGGATAAGAGCAATCAGGGTTTAACTATAAGAGAAGATATCAAAGGAAATGTGCTGCTTGATGCAAGGGAAGCTGTCGTAGACAATGTTGATAAAGTTATGGAGAACATGATGCAGGGCAATAAGATCAGACGAGTTGCAGCTACTCGCATGAATGAGAGGTCATCTCGATCACACACGATTTTCCGGATTATTCTGGAGTCGAAAGATGCCAATCAGAAAGATGGACCTGTACATATAAGCTACCTTAACTTAATGGACTTAGCTGGTTCTGAGAGAGTTTCTCTGACGAAAGCTGCTGGTGAGCGTCTTAAAGAGGGGGCTAACATAAACAAATCTTTGTCAGTATTAGGAAATGTGATAAGGCAACTAAGCGAGGGGAAGGAGTTTATCAGTTATCGCGATTCGAAATTGACTAGACTGCTCTCACAGGCTCTTGGCGGTAATGCCAAATCATTGATTATCGGGAATGTTACTTTAGCTGCAGAGGAGGAGACTAGATCTACACCAGAATTCGCCCAAAGCACTAAAACTGTCAAAAATAAAACGAAAGTAAACATCTTGTCAGCTACAGAAGAGACACTTCAAGGATATCAGAACTTGACTCGCGATCTCGAAACTCGGCTCAAAAAGCAGGCAATTAAGCTAAAAGAGATGGATAAAAGCAAACAAGAGTATCTGCTCGAGATAGAAAGACTAAAAACGGAAGTATCTATTGTCGGGCGCTTTCAAATGGGAGCCTCGGCATCAACACCGAAAAAAACATTAAGACGTCATACTTTTGGACACTATGGCAACGTATCACCTAAAAAAGCATCCCTAGGGTATATGCCATTGAAAAATTATCCACCCAAAGAAGAATCATCCGGACGTGAAATGAGGCCTATTCAAGAAGAGACATATGAGGAGGCACTAGCCGAAGCAGAATCTGTGATAGCTGAAGACGTGCAAGTGTACTTAAAAGACAACTCAAAGAACTGGAAGAATCTTTCAATGAGCTTAGAGAATTCACTAAACTAGATAATCAGCTGGAGATTTTGGACCTGAAGAAACAGCTCACAGAAGCCAATTCTAAATTCGATCGTTACAGTCAGGAACTCCGCCAAGTAACGGATGCGTACAACGAAGAAATAGAAAGAGTTCAAAAAAATTCTCAAAAAGCGCAAGAATTTCATCGACTTGCAATACAGACTCGATTTTCTGGAAAAAAATAATAAAAAGACTAAAAACATACGAGTCAGAAATAGAGATGCTGCGTACTCAACTGAAGAACCTAGGAAGATCAGAGAGCCCTAAACCATCTCTTGAAGCTCAAAATATTGAGTCAAAAAAGAAGGTTGCAGACTTAGAAGCTATGCTTGACGCTGAGTACGAAGATATGCAACATTCTTTAAGTGCTGCTGCACAAACTGATGTGACGATGTCACACATTGCTGAACTGCAAGATGAAATTGGCTTCCTAAAAGAACTTGAATCTAAACTGAGAAATGACGTAAAGAGTCTGATGGACGAGAGTAACCAACGTGAGGTCAACCACTCATTTAAAATCTCAGATATACGATGCCATAATGATTCTACTATAAAAGAGCTTCAGGATCAAATGGCTGAACTGGAATGCCAAAACGAAATCTGGATTATGAAAAGTGCCCCTCTTTATAACCCGTGAAATAGCCCTAGTTCTAATTAAATTTCAGATCAAGCTTCCAAAATGACTTCCGACAATATTAAAGTAGCCACAAAGATCAGACCAATGATCCACCGCGAAGTAGCCGATGGTCTAGAGCGTCTTTGGAACGTAAGAGTAAACTGCATATGGGAAGCCGATGAAAGTAGTCGCCATGGAGAGGTTTATATATTCGACCATGTATTTAAGCAGGAATGTACAAATTCAGATGTATATGGATCTGTAGTAAAACCTTTAGTCGATTCCTTCATGGAAGGTTTCAATGCCACAATATTTGCATATGGCCAAACATCTTCTGGCAAAACACACACCATTTTGGGCAATAAAACAGATCCTGGGCTTTTCCAATTAGTATCCAATCAGTTATTCCAGCATGTGGCAGACCAGGTTGATAAGAGGTACTTGATTAGATGCAGTTATATTGAAATCTACAATGAAAAGATCAATGACGTCCTGGATAAGAGCAATCAGGGTTTAACTATAAGAGAAGATATCAAAGGAAATGTGCTGCTTGATGCAAGGGAAGCTGTCGTAGACAATGTTGATAAAGTTATGGAGAACATGATGCAGGGCAATAAGATCAGACGAGTTGCAGCTACTCGCATGAATGAGAGGTCATCTCGATCACACACGATTTTCCGGATTATTCTGGAGTCGAAAGATGCCAATCAGAAAGATGGACCTGTACATATAAGCTACCTTAACTTAATGGACTTAGCTGGTTCTGAGAGAGTTTCTCTGACGAAAGCTGCTGGTGAGCGTCTTAAAGAGGGGGCTAACATAAACAAATCTTTGTCAGTATTAGGAAATGTGATAAGGCAACTAAGCGAGGGGAAGGAGTTTATCAGTTATCGCGATTCGAAATTGACTAGACTGCTCTCACAGGCTCTTGGCGGTAATGCCAAATCATTGATTATCGGGAATGTTACTTTAGCTGCAGAGGAGGAGACTAGATCTACACTAGAATTCGCCCAAAGCACTAACACTGTCAAAAATAAACCGAAAGCAAACATCTTGTCAGCTACAGAAGAGGCACTTCAAGGATATCAGAACTTGACTCGCGATCTCGAAACTCGGCTCAAAAAGCAGGCAATTAAGCTAGAAGAGATGGAGAAAAGCAAACAAGAGTATCTGCTCGAGATAGAAAGACTAAAAACGGAAGTATCTATTGTCGGGCGCTTCCAAATGGGAGCCTCGGCATCAACACCGAAAAAAACATTAAGACGTCATACTTTTGGAGA